TCACCTTTTGAGTTGCCATACTGACATAAATGAACATTTGCACGATATTCTAATTTTTTGAATTTCACCTGTAATGCTTTCCAGGCAGATTTGGTCCAAAAGCACCAAGTCCCACAGGAATTGTCTTTGCCCCCTACCCCAGTGTTTAGAAACACTATAGGTACCTCTTTTTCACCAGGCTTTACATTGGCTTTAGTACTTAATTGTTGATTTTTATCTCTGTTGTTTCATTTTTAATGTTCTAATTTTGTTTTTAAATTTTGTTATCTGCCTTGAGTACTCTTCAGATTCAAGAGGTGGGATAGGAATCAAAAAAAGAATAAAGGCTACATAGCAGATTTACCTTGACTTTGGCCTCCAAAGTGGGAGTTTAGGCCCTGAAAAATGGGAGAGGTCATATTCATCTCAGGATCACCTAGCCAGTTTTATGATTTATCTCACAGATTAAAAAAAAACAATCAATAGTCTCTTATTTGAGAAGTCCCCACCCAGTTATTTTAACTTTCTTGATAATTAGTTTTAAAAAGCATCCATTTATGGGATCAAAATTGTTGGTGAGGAAAAGTCTATCCATAGGGACCTTATCCAGTAGCCACTGGAGAACAACAGAGAAAAATGAAGGTTGGATTCCTTCAGTGCTCAAATAGGAAACCCATAGAACTGTTCTTCCTTGTGCCAGAGTGGGTTATATGTCTGTGTCACAGTCCATGGGTGTGCTTTGAAATGAATCAGGATATCTTAACTTTTGATTTCTTCTTCTTCTTTTTTTTTTTTAGAGTTTGGGGAAACACTTTCTGAGAGATGCCAGCCTCCAGCAGCCCAGCCTGAGGCTAGAAGAAACAGCATTAAGGTGGAACCAGACACCAGCCGGCAATGAGCAGCAGGGGCACCCTTGCTCAGCCACTAAGCAATAATACTCCAGCCAGCTCTGAGCATTAGACAGACCTCTGCCAGGAAGAGGGAGGCTGTCCTCTCCATCACCCCCAGGACGCCTGTGGGGCTTTCTTGCAGAAGGCGAGCTGTCATATTAGCACAACCAACTCCTTTATCCTGTTCTCTTCTTGAAATGGAGAGCATGCTTGGTTCACAAACAGAAGAGCATGGACCTACAAATAGTGAATCTTATAGGAAGCCTGCCATCTTAATTTAACTCAGCAAGAAGGAGTGCCCTGGCTACAGTTGATAGCATGAGCTCAGGTAGACCAAATCTCTGGCCCTCTGATGGGACTAATGGAAGGTCAATCTTACCCACAGCCTTTCCTCCCATGTGAGACTTGAAACTGAGGGGTATACAGCCATAAAAAAGCACATAAATATCCTGTACATATTTTATTGAAAGGCATTTAATTGATTGGCCATAAACATACATCTTGTTCCCAAATCGTCCCCGTACCCCCATTACTTTCAACCACACTCACACACGCATACACCCAAAACACGTTTGTCGCTGCCCTTCTGTCTTTGTCACAGGTGCTCTCTGTATGTGCAGAACCTGAATCCCCAGGACTGTTTGTAGCACACACCCCCTGCAAACCCTTTTGCAAATTGCCATAGAAATGATAATTCTTGATGTGACAGAAGGGGAAAATGTATCAAAGACATAGAAGGTTACCATGCTAACTGTATAACAAAAAAATTTGATTTAATTCAAATTGCTCTTCAGTGTAATTCAAAATATGTAAATTGAACTAAATTTAGTTTTTGTTCCTCCCCCCCCCTTACTGGAATGTGGCCCCAGTAGTCACTCTAAGCCCAAGGACGGTCCTCAGCCCAAAAGAATTGGGGCATCTTTGCTCTGGTGCCACACATTCTGCCCATCCCCAAACTTCTCTTTTCCTGGTTTTTAACTTGTATACACTGCTGAAAGTATCCTCATTACCTCTCTTGCCTGTTGACTTTATATCGTGGTTAATCATCCGAAGCGCTAATTGCTGCTCAGCCCAGTTTGGAATGCTTGGAAGTACTTTGTTTCCTAGATGGCTCTAGAGAGGCTAGAAATTTACCGCATTAAAAGTAATGATTGAGCTGCTGCCATTTGGATACGGGCACACACTAGTGACGACTGCTTTCACATCCAGCTGCATCCCAGCTTTCACATCCAGCAGCAGCTTTAATTTTTGTAACATATTGAAAGCATAGATGCAGGAAGGTGAATTGATTTCAGAATCCTTTTGCCTGGCATTTCTTTTCTACCACAACAGTATGAATTTATAAAGGACCCAAGAAAGGAGGACTTGCTGAGAGCCAGGTTGGAACCTCATTCTCTCTCAGTGCTCCCTACTCCTTTCCTAAGGCTTCCCACTCATATTCTTGGAGCTTATACTTTTCTTCCCTACCACTGTAAGCAGGAAGAGGAATGAACAGCAAAGATGGCATCGTAGATGGTTGATCAAGCAGCAGCTCTGCTTCTCTGTGTGCAGAAAAGAAGATCCTGTATGGATCTTCCATTTTGAAGCAGTTGCATGCAGACAAGAAAAATCAGCTAATGAAAAACTGTACAGATTGAAAAGCCCAGGCTGAGTATTTTAGAAATGTAAATTTGTAAGTCTACTGGGACCACCAACGGTTTGGTGTATAGTAACTGCTGTGTTTGCTGAGATTTTTGAATGGGAATCAGCAGAGATATTTTTGGAATTATCATCTCTTGAGCGGAACAAGTTGGATACGGTGCCCTTAATAAATACACATGCAACAGGGTTAAATTGTAATTCAATTTGCTGCTCTAAGGGAACATTAACTTTACAACTATTCTGTTATTTGTTGGGAAGAGAAGAGCATTTCCTAACTCAAGGCTTTCTCAACAGCATAGTCCTCTTCCTACCAAAGTGAATGGGGGATAGGGGAGATGCTGAAATTGAGAAAAGGAAGGGAATTGTACCTTTGTCTGGCTCTGGGACAGGAGAGGAAGCAGTTTCCCCTACAGGGATTGTACTTTCCCTGAGAAAAATAGATTCCTTCATTCTCCTTTACTCATCATAATTATGGCATAACCACAGTATGAGATAGATGGAACAATATTAACTCAATATTGTTGTCAAAGCACTCTGAAGGCAACATTTGCTGGAATAAACACTTGCAAAACACACATTGTCCAGGTAAACATTGAACTCCTGTTAAGGTAACATTAATACTCAACTGCTATTAGGTCAAGTCCCCACCTCCTACCCTACAGCCTTTGTGTCTTTATAGGAAAACTAGCATCCGTTCCTTTGTAATGTGTACAGTAGATTATTTATTTTGTTATTTTGGAATAAAGTCTTATTTTATGGGTTATTTTAAATTGCACCTTTTACCAGAACTTGGCAAATGAGAATAGTCTGTACAATAGGAAATCTAGTAGAAAAGGTTGGGCTGTGCCAGCTGATGATATAGGGGAAATCTGAATTTTACATTATTCCACCCAGGAAAAATGGTTCAAGTGTTCCAGTCCACATCTCAACAGCCCAACATTCACTCTGAATCAGAAAAAAGGTGGTAGAGAATCTAGGCTCCACCTAACTTAGAGGAACTGCAAATTTACAAAGCTGGCCCAGAACATGTTGCAGCTAGCCTCCAACATCTTGCATGTGAAAATTGAATCCTACCTCCACCCACAACCTATTGACAAAAACTTGGTGAGAAGATTGAATCCACCACCATAACTAAGGCAGTAGGTTAGCTTGGCTAATGTGCAAGGCAGGCCATGTGACACTCTATACCTCCCCACCATTGCTCATCACCTTGTTTTGGCCTGAGGTAGTCACTTCACTCTACCTAACAATTCTGTTTAATATGGAGACGGGCTCTGGATCTTTAAATTCTGAGAGGAACTATAGTGTCTCCTCTTCCAAACTAGAAATGAAAAATAATGGAGAAGACTCAATTGGAATATTTTCATATGCCCAAGTGTTCCATGTGAATATATGAAAGAATCAGCAGCCCAACCAAGATTCTGCCTAAACTGATTGAACAATTTTTTTTCCTGAAGTTTCTGATGAAATATCTTCAGCCTTGGCTGCTGGTATTAAAAGTCAGTCTATTGTAACTGAAAAACCAACTCTTCCTTGCAATCCAGAGGTAACACAGATAAGCAGTAAATCACACAGAGGCACTAGTGCACCATGTCTGTCCCCTCCCCCCAGACACTTCTGTCAACAGCAAAGGAGACGTGAGTGGGAGCCCCTCTCTTCCATCAGCTGAGCTGATAACAAGGATGGAGTGTCCCCAACAGAGCTGTATCATGGCATGTGCCTGACTTAGCCCACAACTGAAACTGGTTTTGATTCAAAAGAGCTTGCAAGGATCTAACTGGATGAAGTAGATATGCAGATGGGCCAAGGGTTATCAGCCATCACTGTTTATGTCCAGGCTTGGTAGGAATAAGTACATAAAAGGTCCATTAAAGTATCTCCAATATTAGAAAGATGACAAGCACATAAAAATTGGTCACACTGGATTCTGACAAAAGTGAAGCATGTCTTGGTCTGGATGCAGAAGCTTTTCAAATTCTTCAATGGAAGGTGGCGAAATGGTCTCAGACACCCTGGAAAGAAAATATGCAGGGAGTGAATGTGAGGAACTAGTTCTCATGGATCATGCCATCATGTCATTATATTCTCCCTCCCCAATTTCTTGGCTTCTGTTCAAGAACTTGCAGATTTGAACCCAGCTCCTCTCCCCATGGCTGCCATTCCATTTTCTAGCTTCCTTGGCTTCTTATCAGTAGCCAAACCAACTGCATCAGCCCAACAACTACCATTCTCAGCTGCACCTTCTACTTTGGACCTGCCCTATTTTCCCTGCCATTCAATTTCTTCTTTATTCTCAATGGCTAACCTCAGCAACACTCCCCTTGCTGTCCACACACCAGTAATTGAGGAGGTCAACAGTTAAATTAGTTTGAAGCTTGCTCAGATTTTCAATCAACTAAGAACCATGAGAACTGTCATCCTTTCAAAGGAGGTCATTTGAAATAATCTTATAGCAGGTTCCCTACACTATAATTTCTGGGGACTCTAGAAGAAGCCATGACATGCCTTCAGATAAAACCACAGGAAGAAAAAGTAAAATTGCAAAGCCCCGTCAGTGAGGAATCTCTTTGCCTTTACCCTCTTTTCTACCTACAAGATGCCATCTACACTCACCTTAATGGGTCTTCCAGCACATGGAGCTGATGATTCCCTGGGTATGTTATGGTGTCCTCATTGGACATACAGAGGTCTGGCATCTCTATGTCCTGGCACATGGGGTATGAATCCACTGGACCAAGGGGTGAAGCATCTTCCAAAGGGTATGAGCAAGTCATTAATTCACTATGAGAAGAAAGAAAGAGTAGACACAATGCAGCTCTAAACACTGAAAAGTGGAACAGGAAATCCTAACATTGCCAGAAAGTACTAACTTAAGATCCAAAGCCAATTGACCTGTGAAATGGAAAATGACACTAAGGTCTTTGCTCTCTAGATAGTTTGGGTTGATATGTTTATTGCCCAATCCCACAATCCCACAATGAAGAAGCCAACTTGCATTCAGTTAATACAATATATAAATGTGCTTTTTTTGATTAACCAATTATGTTTAAATTAGCCTTGGGTTTTATGTATGATATTAATATTGGGCAAATAGCTATTTTATTGCTTTCATATTGCATATTTAATAAACATTTTTTATATATCATGCCAGCTCTCTACATTTTGCTGGATTGGGTATTTCTATTCTTGGTGAGATCCAAGTAAGCTAGTCCTTGGTTTATGACTGCTGTTCAGTGACTGTGCAAAGTTACAATAGCACTGAAAAAGTAACTTTATGACTGGTCCTCAAACTTATGACCATCGCAGTGTCCCATGGTCACGTGATCACTATTTGGGTGCTTCAAAATCAGTGCACATTTATGACGGTTGCAGCATCCCAAGGTCATGTGATCAATGTGTGAGCTTCACAGCTGGCTTCTGACAAGCAAAGTCAATAGAGAAGCCGGCAGTAAAATTGCAAGTCGCTGTCATGTGATGTCTCACTTAATGACCATGGGTGATTCGCTTAACAACCACAACAGAACTGATGTTGTAAGTCTGGCACAGTCACATGATGTTTTGCTTAACAACCATGTCTCAGCAACGGAGTTGCCGGTCCCAATTGTGGTCATTAAGTGAGAACTACCTGTATAACATTCAGTCAGTGTCCTCCCTGCTCCCCGCCTCTCTGAGACAGACAAACAAAAGAGAAAGGGACCTGCTCGGCCAGGGATCCTTACAGTGGTAACTGTGAGCTTCCATACGTTGTGCTGCTGGCTAGAGATGTCCCTATAGATGATGGAACCATCACTGGCTGGCTGTGGCAAACACAGAGGAAGGCTATGTCAAATACTGGTCAGAATAATCCCAATATTCTATCAAGTGTGTGGAAATAAACATATAGACCTAGGGGGTATAGCAACAAATCTTTACTTATTTTTACCTACTGGTTGCATTGTTTTGTTTTTTTAAATCCTACCTTCATACTTTATTCATTGCATTTTTACTTTGTTCTTCCTTCAAGTGACTTAGGACAGTCTACATTAGTGTTTCTCAACTTCAGCAACTTCAGCATGCTGGCTGGGGAATTCTGGGAGTTGAAGTCTACACATTTTAAAGTTGCTGAGGTTGAGAAACATTGGTCTAGATGGTTCTCCTCCCTTCTTTTTATACTCACACCACTCTTCTGAGAGAGGTTGGCTGGGGAGAAAGAGAGTTGAGGTTCACATATCACTCTTAGCCAGGAGTTGTTTAATGATGGTTAACCAGTATAGTGGGTTTTGCATAATATAATATAACATTTTCAGACAGTAGGCACCATGTTTTATCTTGCGTGATGCCAAGGTATGCAAACTAGCCAAATAAATAAATGGTTCAATTCTCACCCTTCACATCTTTCAAGATCTCATGGGAAAATGCTACAAACTTAGGAAATGTGATAAATTCACAAGATTTCAGCCTTGTTTTTGTTTTAAAGTGGGAGTTCTGTATATGCCATTTAAAGATGCCATGGACATCATGATGCCTCAGGAAATTGCACTGCTGACCTAGGCACTATGACTGAGCTAGGTTTATAGATCACATTGCTTGGATTCACATGCTGCACTAAGCCAAAACCAAGCAACCCACATTGCATACTGCAATATGTGAACCTAGCCAGTGACTCGTCCATGGAACTGGGGTTCATGGCAAAGCGTGTATTTGAACTTAATCTTTCTTTGTTCCAGGTTCAAACTATTATGCAATACTGGCTTTAGTATGGGGACTACATTGTTTGCTATAATTTACAGGTAGTCCTTGACTTACGACCACAATAGGGACCAGAACATTCATCGTTAAGTGGTGCAGTTGTTAAGCAAGGTGTCAGGTGACTGCATGTAATTTTATGACACTTTTATGGTGGTCATTAAACAAATCACCATGGTCATTAAGTGAATCACATGATTCCCCATTGATTTTGCTTGTCGGAAGCTGGCTGGGAAGGTCACAAATGGTGATCACATGACCCAGTTCAATTCTCACCCTTCTGAGAACCATCTGCAACCATCGTAAACACACACCAGTTGCCAAATGCCCAGATTTTAATCATGTGGCCAGAGGGCCGCTGCAACAGTTGTAAGTTTGAGGACTGATCATAAATCACTTTTTTCAACACCATTGTAACTTCAAATGATTGCTAAACGAATGATCGTAAGTCAAGGACTACCTGTATTTATGCTCAAGTTACTGTGAGCCACTGAACAAATGGCAAAAACCCTAAAGGAATTATTTCAAATATTTTATAAATCAACAATGTTCTAGTTATAATATTTAAGCATCATGTGCTTATTGATTACACAGGTTTATATCTTGGCAAGAAATTATGCCAAATAAAGTTCAATAAACTCTCCTGAGATCTGACCTTATCTATTTTCTGAAGAAGCAGGAACTTCCTCTTCTACATGTATCTATAATCACTCTGAAAATCAGTAATGCAATAAGGCCAATCTATTAGTCAGTGGAATTTAGTGAAACACTAGGCGTCATTTCTCTGCTCTTCTCTTTTGCAGCAAAGAAACAACAGGCACAGGAGAAAGTGGTTAATTATTCCACATTTCCTCTGAAGCGTCTCCCCTTCCACCCAAATCAAGCAGAGTTCCAAATCTATGCACCCATGTCCTTCCTTAACACAGGTCTGAAGCAGAATTGGGAACATTTTTACAAAGCAGGGAGAGAGATTCATTGTATTTCAATATCACCGATCACTGAAGCCTAAAAAAATTGATACACCATTGGAGATGCACGCATTTGCACAAAAGAGCAGGGGGGCTGCATTGTCAAATTAATATGGGGGGGGAAATGAAACATCTGTTCTCATTCACATTACAGCCAACGTCCACCTTCACCCTCTGAGTCACTACTTTTAGCAAATAAAAGAGATGAGGGGATCCAGTCACTAATTTCCTATACCTGTGACATAGTGAGATACTAAGGAAGATGACCTTGACAGAAATATTCAGGAACTGTTACCTAGGCAAAAGGGGCTGAAACATCTTTAAATTCAGAACAACAAGATATTATTATAGCCAGTCTCAATAAAGGTAGTTTTAGCCTTCCTGTGGAGTTGATTTCCTGGTCTGGTCTATCTAGAGGAGCTGACATCGATCTTACAAGTCTTATTGTGTCATACTTCTTCCTCCTTCTTATATTCCAGTCTGCCTGAGCTGCTTCCAAATGTTATCTCATTGTTCTGGACATAAAAAAATGTTTCAGCCCCTTTTGCCTAGGTAATGGTTCCTGCATATTTCTCACAAGATCATCTTCCTTACTCTCTACACATAGATTGAATTAATCAGCATTTTTGCTTCAGATCAAAACTATACATGTCAAGATACACGTCAGCACTACCAAAAAAGAAACCTACCACAGCATTTTCACATCCCAATTCCCCTTTCATAAAATCAAAGAGAAGACACTGATGCTGACGTCAGTCCTACTTTGAAGCATTGTATAAGTAGCTACATCTCAGGGTTCTTTTTTCTCCATATCGCTTTGCAGAAGTTCAGAAAGAGCTGTGGACTTGATCCCACAGTGTTGGCTCTGCCTGGGAGCTGAGTCTTTTTTTTTTTTATTCCACATGAGAGTAATTGAAACTGTTCTATTCTTTTGCAGGGCAGCAGCTTTGCAGAACTTGTAGGTGGATCCTTCTCCATTGCTGAGAAATCTTTCCTCAACCTGTCTCCTGAGTTGGCAGCTCCTCTTCAAAGCAACTGCTCCATTTTCTTCTCTTCCTTTTTTTTCATATAACCAAGTAGTTGTGCACAATGTAAACTAAGAATATGGATGGGATAGGAGAAGTAATAGCAATTTATTCTCCTCCCTTCTTTGGTGTGAGAGGGAGAAGGAGAGAATTTTCATCCTCCAGGACCGAGAGTAACTCAGACTTGGGCCTCAACAGCATTCTCCAACGTTTCAATGTTGAAGAAGTGAAATTGATCACAAGTGGGCTTCAAGATACAAGATACAAGCCTCAAGGATTGGGAGGGCAAAAAATGGGGGCAATGTGAAGGCACCTTTAGAATAAGTTGAATACCATCCAGATTTCATATCACACTCTTCCACAGAATACTTGTTTTAATTCATGCAATGTAAAAGGCACTGGAATATGTTGAGAGACTTCCTGAGCATTCCCCTTCATTGTCAGCCTTCCCAGGTGGACCAGACAGGAAATATGGCCAGATGAGCTAATCCTACTTAATTGTAAGGCTAGATTAGCAGAATCTTGCAAGTCTGAAAGTACAAATCTCCCACTGTCCCCTTTACAATCTGAGAAGATAGAGAGGGTCCCTTCTCAGCGTTTTTCTCCAGCCCTTATGCAACTTTGGGCTATGTCCTCTCTTATCTGACCACTCCCTTAGGCAGCATCTCTTCACCCCACCTCTCAAGGTCTTTCTCACATACCATTACATTCATAGATACATGTTCATTATATAACATACACACAATGGTAGGATTCTCAGCAATTAACCAGTAAGTCAATACTTACTCATGATAGGTTGAATCAGAATGGACTGCAAGATTCACATTAGAACTGCCCACAGAGTCAACTGGATTCTGAATTGACGTCGGGAATGTGCAGGGTCTGAAATTAAACACAGTTTATGTGAACATCCATTTGTGAGGCCACAGTCACTTCCTGTACTTTTACAGACCCTGATCTAAAGATGACACATCTGATCTGTTTTCCCCTGCCTTGTTCAAAATGGTACCAATAGGATAAAATCAAGGCTGAGAGAGAGAGAAGATAAAATCTATCTATCTATCTATCTATCTATCTATCTATCTATCTATCTATCTATC